CGCATTCGTACTAAAAACAGTTGCGTTTACTAAATTAGGGATGTATCCTTACTAAAAACAGTTGCGTTTACTAAATTAGGGATGTATCCTTACTAAAAACAGATGTGTTTACTAAATTAGGGATGTATCCTTACTAAAAACAGTTGCAGTTTACTAAATTAGGGATGTATCCTTACTAAAAACAGATGTGTTTACTAAATTAGGAATAATTTAGTAAGCACATCTGTTTTTAGTAAGGACACGGTGATATATATATTCTTAATAAAAAACAGGTGTGCTTACTAAATTAGGGACGTGCCCTTACTAAAAACAGATGTACTTACTAAAATAGTGATGTATTCTTACTGAAAACAGATGTATAGTTGATTGTTTACACACAAAATACGCATATTTACTAAAGACAGATGTGCTTACTAAATTAGGGATGTGTCCTTACTAAAAACAGGTGTGTGAGTATGTGTGGGCAGGGGCGTACTGGCATTTAAGGACCAGCCCGGGCAATATCACGTGCTGCATACTGGCTAAACAATTAAAATTTAAAATCAATTTCTAGGAATGCGTCAAATGCACCAGCCCACCGGGCAATTGCCCGGTATTCCGGTGGGCCAATCCGCCCCTGTGTGTGGGCTTACTAAAACAGTATTTGACATTTCTACGAGGGAAGGTATAAATATTAAAATTATGATATCATAATTCTGGATGTGTTTTAATACCCAACTCTAAGGCACAACGAGTAATGGGTTCAGTGATCTCAACCAGAGGATAGCAAATGAACATGTCTGTGGACTTACAACGCTAGAAATATATCTGTGGACTTACAACGCTAGAAATATGTCTGTGGACTTAAAACACTAGAAATATGTCTGTGGACTTACAACGCTAGAAATACGTCTGTGGACTTACAACTCTAGAAATATGTCTGTGGACTTACAACGCTAGAAATATGTCTGTGGACTTAAAACACTTAGAAATATGTCTGTGGACTTACAACGCTAGAAATATGTCTGTGGACTTACAACTCTAGAAATATGTCTGTGGACTTACAACTCTAGAAATATGTCTGTGGACTTACAACTCCAGAAATATGTCTGTGGACTTACAACTAGAAATATGTCTGTGGACTTACAACTCTAGAAATATGTCTGTGGACTTACAACTCTAGAAATATGTCTGTGGACTTACAACGCTATAAATATGTCTGTGGAGGTACAACACTAG